CTTCTTGCCCAGTTTTGTTGAATTCAACTTTCCAGGAATATCCATTAACTTAATTAATTTTACAAAAATACCCTCCATATATTATTTAATCTAAAATATTTTCAATTATAAAATGCACAGTTGTTTTTCCTACCGCTAATAAAGATAAAATATGCTGCCAAATATAATCACAAGGAACCATTAATTGAAAGATGCATCCTGATTTCACAGATATTAAAATGTTAAAAATTGTATGGTTTTGAATTTATAAAGTACAGAAAAATCACCACAACAGCTTTACCATCAATTTCCAATCATGTATTTATACAAAGTTTTAAAATTATTTCTATGGTAATGGCAGAGGAACATTGTGTTGCATATGTAATATAAGACAATGGTACTGCATTTTTCCAAAAATATTCTGAGAGCTTTAGAAGATGCCTGGTAGAATGGAACTCCCAGAAGTTAGTATGTTTGTCTGTTTTGTATGTACCCCAAGCGTCTAGAAGAAGACACTCAATAAGTATTTCTCAAATGAATTTCTGAGTGAATTCATGTTTCATTAGAGATGCCATGTGTCTGTTTTAAGTAAAAGCAAGTAAAAAAATAAGACGTATTAATCAGCGAGCTCCTTCTAAATGCCAGTTTCTGTTTTTCAGATATCTTGAAAAGCATAGCTTCTCAAGCCTTTCTTTTCACTTGTTGCCAAATACTTTCCATTGTATTTCTCTAAGTATTATAATGATATTTACAACTCAGTGATGTTTCCAACAACAATTTGTATATTGCTATGAAAAAAAAATGAATGATATAATTGGTCATTTATGGCTATCCACAGTTGCACTATTTTGGGAGTTAAAAGGTAAAAGCAAATCTTAGTTAAGTGCCTTGTAGTAATACACTTGGTCCACTCGATAAAAAGGAGAGATTAGTGAACCAAATATAAAAACAAAAAGTTTAGAAAAAGGGCTTGGCTTGTAGGGTCTGAGTTTTATTATCATTCCATCTTCTCCTCCATTTCTAAGACATTTATGTAGCTTTGGTGATGGCTGATTTATAGTTATCCATATGTGATGCTATTTAGAAATAGACTCCAAAGTTATCAATCCCATAACATCTGGAACCCTCACATGTCAATTGTTATATTTAATTTAAACCTAACATGAGTTCATTGCGATTCTTAAGGCAGAATACAAGAGAGGCTAAGGACATGGCCTCTGGAACTCAGATCTCTGGGCTTGAAACTTATCTCTAGCTCTTGTTAGCTATATGGTCATGGGAATTTAGTTAACATTTTTGTGACCTATTTTCACCCTTCTAGTGTCACTAGTACATCTTTTGTAGGGTTTTTTATAAGGACTAAATGACACATTAATGTTTTTAACAGATCCTTTCAAACAGTAGATGCCGATGTTGGTTTTTCCCGCTTTCCCCTCTGGATCCACTATGTCCTATATTGCCCTGCTTTGTGTCCTGGATGACTTATGTTCATGGTCTTCCTTACTTGGGCTCCCTTGCCCTCTGACTTTGGTTAGATTTTCAACTGAGGACAATGAAGGGATGGAAAGACAGGAGGAGTGAAACTGAGGTAACCTCTCTCCTCACTTCCTCACTGCCTGATGGTGGTTTGGCCGTGACTTTCTCCATCCCCTTGACATGTGGGAGTTCACAGCTACTACTGAATGGTCTCTCTCCCATGGTTCTAGCTATTGGCAAATCTGTTAGTATTACTTCCTCCCCATCAGAGTAGTCAAGCAAGACTTGCTGTGCCTCTAGGTCCTGGTGCTTCAATACCTTTGTTGATTCCTTTAACCCTATTTACATTCTTGTTAATAATCCCTTTATTCGACTCTTCAATTAACCATTTGTATGTACCATTTATTTGCTCAAGGGATCATATATGGTATGGTGCTGAATTATTTCATTTAAAATAAATATCAGAGCAAACCATAAGAGACTCTTAAATATAGAGAACAAACTGAGGGTTAATGTAGGTGGAGAAAATGGGGGATGGGCATTGAGGAGGACACTTGTCGGGGTGAGCACTGCGTATCTTATGTATATGGGTGATGAATCACTGGATTCTACCCCTGAATCCAAGACTACACTGTAGGTTAACTAACTTGAAAATAAATTTTAAAAAGTATCAGATTATTCCTTTCAAGTCAATGAACTACCGTTAATAGTCATAAGAATGGGGACTTCAAAATTTAGGTAAAGACAATCAATTTTATTAACCTGTGTGTCATTATAGCATAAACGTCCTCAGCACTAAAGGAGGTATGTGTAGTAGTGGGATGAGGTTGCATTTAGGATGGAATAAAAACTGAAAGACCTTCCCTCAGGGGCTTTACACAGGAATCCTCCCTCCTCCTTCTCCCTTCCTGAGAGTGTTGGAAGCAAGTACATAGAATATAAGGAAGTGGTGTTTATATGGTCAAATCAAGTTTATTATAAAACAAATCTAAGTTTCAGGATTTAGTCAAGATTTTGGAGTTGCTGGGTGGGTGGAGGGGAGAGTGATTCTTAGTGTCGGTGGCAAAAGCCTGTGAGGCCATGTAAGGAATAGCTGGACCTAGAAGAGTGCTTGTAGGAAATAAATAAGAAAGGCATGGCAGGTTTCCATTCAAACAAGAATTACAGGAAGAAACAGTAAGCCTACCAAAGTATTAAGTACAATGGCTGCATAACATGGACGTGTAACAAGTGTAATAACTGATAAACCCACATTTCCTCACAGAATGCATGGGGAAACACTGTTTCCATATTTCCACTCACTAACCATGTTTGGGATCTGTGCGGGGCTGAGTTTACAGGTAACAGAGACCATTATGAGTCATGAAGGTGATGCTGAGGCATGCACGCATTACTGCTGTGTAAAGCAATAATACCATTTCATGCACAAAATAGCAATCATTTTGTTCAGCCTGGAAATGAATTTAAAATAATTGACCATTTATGTGGAAACTAATTTGACAATAAACTATTTGTAAAAAAAAAAAAATAAAATAAAATAATTGACCATAAGGTTTCCCATTAAATTCACTGTCATCTTATTCAGAGTTACAAAATTTTAATTCTCAAATGAAGTAAAATCCTATAGATACCTCGATTCTCACACATATCACAGTACGAGTAGAGAAAACTATAATATATGTTAAGAGGGAAGAAATTAAGAGGCCTAGAGTCAGTCAGACTTCTTGGATTTGAATCCTAACTACCTCTGCTACTTACTATCAGTATATCCTCCACATTTTTTTTCCCCAATCAGCTTATGGATGTTCCAGTTTCCTCTTCCTCATCCTTGGGATCAGAAAAGTATCTATTTCTTGGAAATACTGTGAGGACTCAACAAAATAATACAGGCAAAAACTTCATAAAGTACCTGGCATATAGAAAGTACTTAATACTTCTTGGTTGTAGGTTTTTTTTTTTTTTTTTTGTATGTTCTTCTCCCAACAAGATTCTATATATAACTTGAAGTATGAATATACCTATAAGGTGAATATATATACCTATGTAGTAGGTATACATACTATCCATTTTATATCTGAGTCTATCATGTAGTAAAGTATTAAATAAATATTTGCTTAGTGACTAAATGAAGCTAGCTTGCCTTAGAAATATGAATCTCGAAGTCAAAAACAATGCATATATATTTTTTATTGAAACTGTCTCCTGAGATTTCATGTAAATAACTAGAGAAAAGACTATTAATAGTTCACCCCCCCTTTAAATGTCTTTTTTTTTTTAAATATTAGCACATCAATGCACATGCATAACCACATCCTGGGTTCAAGTTGTCATTCACATTCAAGTTGTCAAGTATTCATAATAAAATCATTTGCCAAAAAGTAAAAATCTAATCAAAACAATAACTAGGAATAAATTATAGGTACCAAAAGGGGGACAGACTACTCATTTGAATGTAGTCATATAGAGAATATCACAGATCTTTTTTAAAACAATGAAATTGTGTTGAGTCTACTTACCATTGATCAAACAATTTACAAGGGGCACCCATCGCTGTTATAAACTTTGATAGATAGTTGGCATTAATTTGTCAAAAAGACTGTGTTTCTTCAATCTACTAATTCTTTAATTTATTTAGTCTATAGAAAAACCTTTTTCAAATTTAAAAACAAATAGGCTTTTCTGAAGAAAAATAAAGTTCACAACTATGGATGTTTTGAAACTTACTATAAAGTAGCATAAACCCAAACTCATAGAAATAACAAGGGAAAATTAATATCTTCCTGCTTTATGCCTATTCAGTCAGTATCCATTTGAGTATATTGTTCGTTAATAATATTTTTATTAACATGTGATTTTTCATGTTTATTAAAAGAGAAAATAATGTGCAGGATAATGATAACAGTTACCATTTGATTTTCTTAGTATGTGTAATTATAATAATTATTTTATATGTATAATTCACAGAATTTACAGGTAATATTCACAAAATCAGTAGGTGGTAAACTTCATAAGACAGAATCCTATCTCTTTCTTTAGGCATCAATGTCCCCAGTAATCAGCACTGAGCTTTATTGATTCTCAATAAATATTTGTTAAACAGTTAGATGATCTTTCCTTTGAAGTAAGTTCTTGCTAGAAAAGCATTGTTTTCTGCCAATGTCTTAGTATTACTGAATTATTACATTTGGTCAACTCTACCCTTGTTTGGCATGATTACTGTCATTTCTGCATACTTCAGTGAGAGAATGCCTGAGGGAGACCTTTACTTTATCATGTGTAGGAAACTATAGAAGGATGGAAATTGGGCCTAAAATGTCTGAGAAAGTTACCGACAAAAGCACTGTAATTAAAGGTAAAGACTCCATATGATTTTGATCCGTATAAATTGAAGGTTGGAAAATTTGACCAGGAAAATATCTTAGAAAGCATAGTCAGGATTTGTTAAATGCTCTTTGAAGATGATGGCATCACTTAATAAAACATAGAGAAACAAAGCGTACAGTAACTTCTAGAAGCCCAAACCACGAGGCTCTGACAAGACTTACCAGAACAGTCACCACACGGAGAACCACTCCGCGCATGTTATTCTCCAGTTTCTTGTCCGTCAGTGACCCGTTCAGCCCTGTGACAGGATTCCAGCACCCAAGCTGAAAGATGAAATAGGCTAGTCACTTTCCTGACTCAGGAACAATCCAATCACCTATGTGAAGACCGTTCAGCAAACTGTGATATCTCTCAAAATAACTGGCATAGAAAGGATCCTGCAGAGGTTTCTCTTCTTAATAGCAAATGAAGCAATCAGAAATTCCATTTCATGCCTTTAAATATCATAGTATGGCGCATGACAGTATGCAATATGCTTTAGGAGACTCTGTGAGGGCATCTGACTTAATAAGGAGTTATAAATACACCAATAACTCAGTCCCTGTAATGCACGAATTGGAAAAATAACAGTGCATATAATTTCAGTATAATGTCTGTTCTAATAGATCAGTTATTGCACAAGTTAGATTTTCTTATGATTTCAATGGTTTTAATTAGATATTATACTGCTTTTATTGGAAAAAAATGTAAGATTTTTTTATTACCGTTACAAGAGTTACTACTTTTATTTGAGGGAAAAAGTTATGTATAGGGCTTTGTTGTTTTCAAATATTCACAGTACATACAACAATATAATTGGCCTTTTTTTTTTTTTTGTCAGTGCTATCAATTTCCTTGGGATATTTTGGCAGTGGCATTTCCCTTTAAGTCTTGCAATGATTCACTTCTCTTTACACTCCAAATACTGGTTTAATTTTACATCCTCATGTAGTTCCTATCTCTTATAATATCCAAATCTAAGGATTGCCATTTTTTAAAAATTTTTTATGTCTTTTTTTTTTTAAATTTTTAATGTTTATTTATCCTTGAGACAGTGAGAGAGACAGAGAATGAGCAGGGAAGGAGCAGAGCGAGAGGGACACAGAATCCGAAACAGGCTCCAGGCTCTAAGCTGTCAGCACAGAGCCCAACGCGGGGTTCGAACCCACGAACCGTGAGATCATGACCTGAGCCAAAGTCGGACGCCCAACCGACTGAGCCACCCAGGCACCCCATTTTATTTTTATTTTTGAGAGACAGAGACAGAGTGAATGGGGAAGGGGCAGAGAGAGAAGGAGACAGAATCTGAAGCAGGCTCCAGGCTCTGTGCTGACAGACATGACCTGGGCTGACGTCGGATGCTTAACCAACTGAGCCACCCAGGCGCCCTTAAGGGTTGCCATTTTTAAAATCACTGCCTCTACATCACAAGAGGATAAAAATTGATGACTCCCAATTCAGAAATGAGAGGAAAAAAGATCTTGTGACTTGAATTAGCAGATCCCTCAATGAGCAGAGCCGCAGAGAATGCTATAATACACATCTTGGGAAGAAATCCATGCTATTAATTCTAATGCTTTAAAAATGTAACAGACCTTTAGTCATATTTGGAGACTGTTCTGATTGACTGAATGGTGTATAGGGGCACCTGATTATTTTTGCGGCTTCCTCCTGAAGGATGATTTGTTTCCTTTTATTTCATTTTGTTCCTGGCTTCCAGAGTTGTCAATACACTGGCAAGACTCCTTCACAAATAAAAGGGTAGGTGCTTCCTATTAGAACTGAAGTTTCTCTGTGAGTTCCCCAAATAGTTTTAATTAAGAAACTGAAAATGTGCATAGATCTAAAGAGAAAGTATGTCACAACGTAAACAAAAAGCCAGCTTTTCCTGTATTAAAAGAATTTGGAAAAGGCTGCTAATTGTAGGTTTCTACTATAAAAGCACATTAAATTCATGGTATGTCATTCTTAGTTACCTGAAAAGTCTAATTAGAACTTAGATCCTATTAGCAAATCCAAATGTGTTGAGAGTCTAATTATCAGAGATATATTGTAGTCCTCTTATCAAATTTAAAATCTTATGAAATTTCTTTTGAGTTTTTGTTCTCTTCTGAGGTCAACCAAAGTCTATGTTCAATTGCATTCCTTGATGTGCACTTTTTCTAGTAGCTTTTCGAGAAGGTTTTGTTTTCTTAGATAAATTAATACCAGTGGAAAAAGTGATTTACAATCTAAGGTGAGGACCTTATACACTATTTATCTTTTACAATTCTATGACTTAATCCTAAGCTTAATGAAGAGCTTTTAGGACATCATCTTGTTCAAGGTAAACATGTCTAAGCTGTCAAAGTAAATACGAGGATTTCTTTTTTGTCTGCCTTGGTGATTCTGTCTGTTTGCCTAAATAAATGGCATCTATTAATACAAACTTGACCATAGCATTTTGGTATATTGACTGGTCAAAATATTTACTCCTGGAATAACAACAAAACTTGCTCAGCAGTTTGTTTCAACAATGTTCTGGACAAATATTTAAAAATATATAATCTCCAGCTTCTTCTTAAGTATGTCTTCCTTTAAACATAACTAAATACAGTCAAGGGTTTAAAAATCCCAAGACACTCAAACATTTGGGTTTCTGAAAAACAATAAGAAAGCATTTGTCTTCAGACTCAGGCAGTAACTTAAACATTATTTATACACATGCGTAGTGTGAACATATGTGATGTTTCTTGTCACACACACAAAAAATGTGACCAAATTCTTTCTTCTTTCTCATATATATTACATCATTGTGTATATATATATATATATATATATATATACATCTCATAATAAGACATCATTGTCTCCTCTGTCTTGATGAAGGTATTTCCCTTTTCTGTATTCTATCTCTCTCTTTTCTTACTATCTGACTCACATGTCCTTTAATCATAACACTTGTAAAGTTATTCCTGTTCATCACAACAGCAGTCTGGATTTCAGGTTTGGTAACACCTTTTACTTAATTCAGCTCTTCCTTCATATGCATAAACTGTAACACTTAATATTAACTGACTTTAGCTATGGACACCAAGAACTAGGAATATCAGAGGTGGAATTTTGAGACAGAGAAAACTTAGAATACATATTATCTGGAAAACTAGAAATAAAATATATTTACTTATCACATATCAAATTGGAACATAACACAGAAATCATTCAGAAATTCAGAAAAATAATACTTATTTCATATGTTGAATAGAACTATTTCTTGTACATTTTACAGAATCCTTTCTAAGTGTTAGCCCTGATACTAAGCTCTTCATACATGATATCATTTAAGCCTCAAAATAACTTTATAAAAAAAAAACTTTATAAGAAGGTAATGTTACAATTACTATTGTATAATAATAGAAAATAAGTCATAGAAACTAAGGGCTCATCTAAAGTCACATAACTACTAAGAGATGAAACTAGGATTTAAACTAGTGCTTTTATTTATTTCTGATGTATATACTTTTTAAGTTTATTTATTTTGAGAGAGAGAGAGAGCAAGCAAGTAGGGGAGGGGGCAAACAGATAGAGAGAGAATCCCAAGCAGGCTCTGCACTGTCAGTGCATGGAGCCTCATGTGGGACTTGAACTCACCAATGGTGAGATCATGACCTGCACTGAAATCAAAAGATGCTTAACTTTAGACTGAGTCACCTGGGTGACACTAAACTGGTGCTTTTAAAAATCCAGATTTCCTTACTTTCAATTGCAATGCTGTTTTATAGCTTATGATTTTTTTTCATAAATATGATCTATTTGCGGTAGGTATAGAAAATATTCCTATTTTATAGTAAAAAATTTAAGGCTCAGAAATGTTAAGTAGCTGCCTCAATATAATAGCTAATGAATTCAGTTATTTTCTTCTTTAAAAATACTTTTTAATGTTTATTTTTAAGAGAGAGAGAGAGAGAGAGATTGAGAGGGCACAAGTTGAGGAGGGGCAGAGAGAGAAAGACACAAAAACAGAATCCGAAAAAGGCTCCTGGCTCTGAGCTGTCAGCAGAGACCCACACGGGGCTTGAACTCACAAACTGAGAGATCAGAACGTGAGCTGAAGTCAGATGCTTAACCGATTGAGCCACCCACGCACCCTGTGAATTCACATTTGGCAATACAGTTTAAAAGGTAAATCATCAATTACCGTTTTAATTTTAAGAAACAAAATACGTACACAGTGCATGGTATATGCCAGTCCTCTGAGGCCTTTACTTATATTGATTCATTTACTTCTCAAAGCAACACTATGAGAAAGGTAACATTATTATCTCCGTTTTACAGAAGGGAAAACTGATGATTGAGAGGCTGTGCTCCTTCCAGTGCGTTATCTTTTATCCACTTAAGCCTTCAAGAGGCATTGAGTAGAATAAAGAAAGTAGTAGACAAATGAAATGGACGAGACAGTGTCAAAAACATTTCTGGAAATTTCTACTTTGTGTTACCAGCTTACTAAAGATAAGTGTGGGATGAATTTCATTTATGTTAATGTCTGCTTATGCTTCTCCAACTGCATATTAAACGAGGAAAGAAACAACAGCAACACACACAGAAAATGTTGATTATTCACATCTTTTTGAAGGAGTTTTCAAGTTTTAAGAATCCTTAATTTCTGTTCATATCCACTCGTCTCCCTGAGGTTCCCTTCAAGCTATTCTGTTTGATTGTAAAAGCTTCTTCCAATAATAAGCAATACAAATGAGTTCAGTTCACAGATTCAAACTGAATTTGTATCTATAATGGGTCATATTCCTTGCAGCATAGCAAGATTGACTGGCATAGCGTTTGATTAAAAAAAAAGGAAAGAAAGAAAAAAATAGAAGAATTTTACTAAAGTTCAAGTATCTAAAACTGTCTACGGCTTCATTTTTTGAAATTCTATTAACTTGACCTTTCTGGATATGTGGAAAAGGGTGTTTTTGCTTGGTTGTATTTTTGTTTTTGTTTCCCTCCCTCACTCTTTTTTTTTTTAACAATGAGGCCAGAGACTAATAAAGATAATGCACACAAAATCTTATAATACTATCTATTCAGCTGAGCACTTTCTAAGTAAAAATAATAAAAGTGGCCCCTGCAGCACATGAGATTTACAGAAAGTCATACTGCTGATGGCAAAACAAGATTCACTATCTTCCTGTGGTCTGGCAGTCTGGAGAAAATTTAGAAGGGATTAAAAAAATAAGGACCAATTCAATTTCCTTTCAATTACAGTATATTGATTTCCTATAGTATTTTCTGGTTATTGCTTAAGACCACTTTAAAACTTTAAAAATGCTTAATGCTTTAATTATTTCCTTCACTGGAGCTTTAGCAATAATAATTTTGTAGCTCTCTGATAAAATCAATGTAGCATCTTGTGTTCAACAAAATGGTAGCTGGGTTTTCATGAGAACAGTAATACATTTTTAACCTCATGTGTTATGTCATTAGCAAATGATCAAGTGTTAGATATTTACTCTTTTCCCTTCAATATTTCCTCTTTTCATTTGCCCATAGGCTTTAAAGGATGACGTTTGACTTGGTTTTGCATTACGATTTTTCAGGCAGTGTTAATAATGTCAAAAAGAGCTGAACTGTTCAACTTTAATTTTACGCTTAATAGTTATAGGCTTTAATAACAGGAGTCAAGAGAGCTCTTAATTGAATGCCAAATGGAATTCCCTACATTTATTAGCTTGTATTCATATGGAACAAATGAAGCCTGGCTATAGTACCAAAGCTCCAGCTGCAGGACACAAAATATCCACTGGACCACGGGGCTGTGTGCTGCCAGCCACTACATTTCTTTTATTTGCTTTCTCAGCCTTCAAAGGAAAAAAAGGGAAGAGCAAGGCATAGGCAAAGTCGCTGAAAGCTAACTAGTTAGATATGCACAGTGCTTATTTGGTAGATATTACTTCTGTAATGAGATAGAATGTGTAAAAAAATACATATGGCAGGTTAACTCAGATGCATGTTTCACAGCGTTAAATGGGAATGTTTTTCCTTTGATATGTACAGGGATGTACTGTGTCAGTAATCCTTCCAATAATATTTTTTCTGTGTGTGTGTATGTGATATTTCCTCCTGTAAAACAGGTTCAATTTGTAGGACTTGCCCCCTAGGGGATGATTATTTCCTCCTAAGATTCTGTTTCTACAGCTTGGTCATTACCATGAAGTAGTAGACGTTCTTCAGATTATGTGAAATAGCCTTAGCACTTGAGTTTCCTTCAGGAGAAAATGTCTTTGAAAAAAATTATCAGAAAAAAAAATGACCTGACTCAACTGCCTTACATTTCCCTGTATAGATGCTGAAAACAAAATTACTATACTATGTGCAATAAAATGAACTTAGCTGATTTCCACAAAATAGAAACTTGAGAATATATATATATATATATATATATACATACACATATATACAATATACACATATATACATATATATGTACATATATCATATACACATATATACATATATATGTATGTTTATATATATTATATTATATTATATATATAATATATATATATATATATATATGAACTCTATGAAGCTGGAATGATGCCTACCTGGTCTATTCTTGCACCCATAGTCCTCATCACAGTATTGGTACTTGGTAGGTCCTAATAAATATCTGATAAATTAATACATTTAATCAAATCTCTGCTGTCCTCTTTTCTCCATCCCCTTCTCTTCCTAATTCCTCTTCCTCTTCCTCCTCCTCCCTTCCTCCTCCTTTACCTCCTCCTTCTTTTTTGCTTCTCCAGTTCAAACTGAATGAAAAAACAAAACATCTCTTATCTGAGATCGTTTCCTACTATCATATTCTACCCTTGACAATTTTTGTAATTCTTCAGGGGTGATTCCCCTCACTCAAATTCTATTAGCTTTCCTTTTTTTCTGATCATAATTTTTTTTGGTTGTTTTTTTCTGGGGTACCTGGGTGGCTCAGTCGGTTAAGTGTTGACTTTGCCTCAGGTCACGATCTCACAGTTTATAAGTTCAAGCCCTGTATTGAACTCTGTGCTGACAGCTCAGAGCCTGGAGCTTGCCTCAGATTCTGTCTTCCTCTCTCTCTGTTCCTCCCCCCTCACACTCTGTGTCTTGCTTTCTCCCTCAAAAATAAATACTAAAGAAGATCTTAAAAAAAGAATTTTTTTCTAATAAAATTTAGCATTTTGTGATTACAGCCTCATAAAAGTTGCTGGATCATCTTCTCTTTCATTCTTTTCCATCTTGAGATATTTTAAAGGGGGATAATTCATTTTAAAACTACATTAGAACTATCTTTCTTATCTTGTCCTTTAAATAATTAACCACTTAAGGACAGGGGCACCACCTTAATTACCCTTGTGTGCTCAGTGCCTATCATGGTGTTTTCCATAAGTAAAATAATTATGTTTTGAAATTACAAGGTTAATGTACACTTACCAAGTTTAATGTAAAGCATTGCTATTGAACTGTAGATCTTTGTTCCCAAACAATCTAAAACCTCAAGTCCAGACATCTCTTTATATTCTACTATATCTTTGATGTTTCTGCTTAGATATCTCAAAGGCACTTCAAATATCTAAAAGATAAAACTCAAAATCTGCCCCCTACCATCCATTCTTCCAATAGTCAGAAATTGATAAATCTGTTTTACAACCACACATACCTAATCCATTGCCAATCGCTAATTTCATCTCTAAAAACAAACTCTCAAATCCATTTAACTCCATCTCCTTGCCACCATCCTAGTCCAGGCTAACTTCACTGCTTCTTTTTTACAATCTTCACTGTACATTGCAACATAAATATAAATGTAGATATGATGCCTTCTGCTTAAAATCTTTCCAAACTTTTCCATTGTTATCAAGAGGAAGACCAAACTTCTAACGTGGCCAGCCAAGACCTGGGTGATTGGTCACATTTTACATTTACAATCTCATGCTACATCATATTCTCTCTGTTTTTGAACTCAAACCATATTAGTCTTCCTTCAGTTTCTTTGGTTAGACATAATCCTCCTGCCTTAAGGATTTAAACTTTGTTGCAGAAACACTGACGGTTATCAAAACTACTTGGGAGTTAAAAACAGAGACAAATAAAAGTAATGCCAAAGTTAACCCCATGCCAATTAACTCAGAATTTCTGGGCATGAGATACAGGCATTGGTATTTTTTAGTTTCCAATATGATTCTAAAATGGAGCCAAATTTGAGAACCAATGGTTTTGAATATATAGTTTTCCTTGATTAGAAGAATCCTAGATAACGCGCTATTCAATTAATTACTGATTTCACTCTTACTCGTTTTTTGGATCTCTATGTAAACAGCTATAGTTTGGTGTAAACCTTCCCTGACTACCTGTCTCCACCCCTAGGTGAGCTCATGTCCCTCCAGGATAGTATCATGTTTCTCTCTTTTATAGATTAACATTTATTGTACCAAATATCTGTAAGTTTCCATGAAATCAGGAAAAGTGACTGTTTTTGTCTCCTATCGCCTTCTTAAGTACAGATTTCCTGGGCCAAAGTAGGACTTCCATTTTTATTGAACAATAAACAAATTTAGATGATTCTTAGAGAGGAAACTTAATACATCTTCTAGTGATTGTTGATCATTTCTTAAACACTACCTTAAATGAGGATCTCAATATATAGCCACCATACTATGCTGCCAGCTACTGAATTTTGTTTGTGTTTTTGGAAATGTAGATTTGCAAATCTCATTCTTCCTGGGTGCAGAGAAGATAAGCTCTACATAATAAAGATCGAGGAATGCTTTTCAGAAGCCTTCAGTATGAGGAATGATGGCATTACTAACCCTGTAGAGAATAAAATAAGTCATCATATTAGTCCTACCATTTGAACAATTATAGAACAACAACAATAGCAATAAGAGTAAAACATAACCTATGATGAGGGCTTCTTATGATTCCAAGACTCATTTTAAGACATGTACCTATACCATCTCATGAAAAGGAGAACCACAAAATATCCATGAAATATAAAGTGTTGAAACTTGAGGGAACAAAACATTTCCTAGCCAGGAGGGAAAGCCCTCTCAAGAATACAAAATCCTCTTGAAGAGTACAGCTCCTGGCCAAAACCTTTGAATGATTTTTGAGGCCTGACTACAGGCAATTAGGACGGCTTTGCTTGACAGACCTATTGAAGGGAGCTGCAGTCAAGAACTCCGGTCCCTTTGGCTGGCCACATTTTTAGGCAGTATCTGCCTGCTTGGCCCAGGAACCTCCATTCAGAGGCCTCTTTATCTGGGCCTTGCCCTGAGGCCTTCCCGAGGAGTCTGCTGAGAACATCCTGGTGTAAGGAGGGGGTAGCCCTGAAGACATTTTCCTATATTCTGACTTAATACCCAGTACTTTTCATTCCTAGCCCATCCTTTCTTCCTTTCCCTCCTCCTCATCCTTGCACCAGACCATAAGACTGCAGGAGCCTCAGGGTTCCCTCCAGCAGTGAGACAGACAATCACCCCTCCACACCCCCCAACCCCATGTGTGCTGATACATCTGATCCTCACCGAGTGTCATTCTGTATGAAAATAGAAGACACTGGGGAAGTTAGGACCTTTTTTTTTTTTTTTTTTTTGACTTGCTTTTCCTATGGCAGTGAGTGAATAAAGGCTAAATTGACTTTCATTTTGGCTTGTTGTCTCAACTGACTACTCCTATACCTGGCAGCTCATCTCTCCCCAGCTCAGCCCTTGACATTTACTTTATAATGACAGTTCACATTTATCGAACACTTCCAATGAGGCAGGCATGTACCAAAGCCCTGGATATTATTTGATTTACTTTTTTGCTATAATCTTATTAAGCGGATGCTATTAATGATCCTAATTTTAACAGATGAGGAAATTGAGGATTAGAGAGATTATTGACCTGTTCCAAGTTACTGGGCTTGAAAGTGAAATCATCAGGATTTGAACTCAGGCAGTTTAGTACCAGAAACCACTAGGTGATTCTGACTTCAGTAAAATTTATTTTCGGAGAAGAATAAAGCAAGGGGCACACAGACAGTCCTAACTGTGTTTGAGTGCTCATTTCCTAAGTGTAGCTCCATTTGTGTTTTGGATTCTTAAAAAAACTAAAATTTATTTGCATAACACCTTCACTTTTTTTTTTTTTCTTCAGGTATTCAAGTGGGTTTCTGTCATGTGGAACCAAAAGATTTATTGATAACTACATGGAAGTTGTGCTAGGTCTTGTGAATGCATTCTATAACTACATCATTGTAGGTAGGAAAAGGAAGATATTTTTGAAGGCATGGGCAAAAAGTAAAAAACATTGGCCTGGGTGTTTGAAGGTCTAGTTTTTATCTCAAGCAAGGGATTAATGCAAATAAATTCTAAACTCTTTTCTCATTTCTAAATTCACAGCTAAATAGTGATTAGGTCTAGTTGTGGACAGTTTCCTATGAGCAAAACAGACTCAAAATATATATAAAGCCAACAAGAATTATTGGAAATATTTGTATTGCTCTAATAAACTGTAAGTTCCACAAAGGCAGCGTTTTTTGCCTGTTTTATTTACTGGTGGATACCCAGCACCTACATAGGTCATAAATAATAAATATTTGTTGAGTCAATGAATGGGTCTTATTTTTCTCAAAGAGTAAATTAAATCTCAGTTGTCTAGAGGACTTAGTGGCATGTGGGTTTTATCTCAAAGTAAGAAATAGATCAGCAAATTCTCATAAAATCCTATCTAGCTTTGTGACTCTACAATTGTTTCCAGGAATGACTGGGTTCATACTAACTCATTCCCCTGATGAACGAGAGAGGATTACTCATTCAAATTTTCCAAATAACTCTCACCAGGAGCAGTACAATTGTTATCAGTTGATCTGATCCTAACACTGACATGACACTATTGTCTAGGTCACTGGGTAATCCTTCCTTTCTGGCTCCCTCTTTATCAGATCCCTGTGCTTATGCTCACAATAAGGATGGAGTGCTGGCATTTCATGGATAACTTTGAATCATCAAATGATTGACTATGCCTCTGAACATTTCTACCAGCTTTGAAAATAATTTTTATTTCACTGCAAAACATTGCAAACATTTATGCAATTGAAACTCCCATAAATCAGGCATGTTTAGAAATGCTGGCACACTTAAAAAGAGTTCTTTGTGGATTTACATGTTTTTCTAATTACTTTTAAAATTAATGATCCTAAATACTTTCCCTATATATACTTCCACTGGCAATTATTAACTATAATCACACACACATGATAAATATGAGAAAGGGCAGGATTATTTGCAAGAGGTTAGGACTAACTGATCATAGTAACCTGCAAGACATTTAGCAACAAATAATCTAGTGGGCACTGATGCAATGGTGTGCATAGGGTAAATACATTATTTTCCCATCACTCAATATTTATAGTCAAGAAGATATTTATTAAATACTTGCTATGCTAGTGCTATAGGATGCAAGGATACACAGAACATCTTTTACCTCCAAGGATTTATCTTTTTGAAATGACAAAGCAGAAACTGTAAAAAGAAAAGAATACAACACATTCTACTAGGCAGTATATTACTAATTCCTTAAAGACTAGCATAAATAATAAGTAATCAAT